TGTGTTACATGCATAACTTGCTGAGAATGAAGAGAGGAGATTTCAAATTTGTGTGCTGTACAAAGAAGAAAAAGCCAAGATGGTACCCTCTGTATTTACTGTGTCTCATGGTATTGCTTTTTATTAGGAAGTAGAGTTAATGATTCAAAGGCAGGTTTCACCTTTTCATGCTGTACCAGTTTTCCCAAGGGGATTTATTGGAGAGAGTTGCATGTAAACAAATACTGTTGAATTTAAACATGTGGCTGTGTGTTTTAAGAAGACCTGCTCAGCAGTAACAGCAGACAATGAAAATGATGCTGTATTGGAAATTTTATTTTAGTGTCTCTGCAAGTAGATCTGATTTTAGTAGGTGATCTGTATCTCTGAACTCTGTATGCTCTTGCTTTTTTGCGTGAGCAAAAATGTTAGGTGGAACAGGGTGCCTGCAAGTTTATCCAGGGCAGTTGGATAAATATATGTATGTATAAAGTGACTTTGTTCTGAGTTATATCAAGAATCTTATTAACAGTCTGATTAATAGATTATTAGCATAAAAGAATATCCAAAATAATGGAAAATATAACAATTTTGACTTGTGTTTTCTTATTCCTTGTAGGTAGATGTCTTTATTTTGGACTGTGTGAGGAAGAAGGTTGTGTTTGGGAAGATATTTCTATCTCAGTTCTGTGGTAGCCATGTGGTGGGTTGTTTATTTTCTTAGGAAAGGCCATAGTGTCATTCTAGTAACTTGGCCTTCTGATGCTAGTGGGTACTTCTGTTAGTACAGCTGTTTTGTTTATTAGGTTTTGTACTGTCTCTTAGTCTTTTGTTGCTGTTGATTAAAGTTGCTTATTGTATACCAAGATCACTAATAGAGGAAGATTGAATTTTTTAATGCCTTTTTTTTTGTGGATTCTGGAAGGGGAAATATAAATGTATGACATCTTCAGTAACTGGAGATGTAAACAACTGTAAAGAAAAGTTGGAAAAAGAACCAGGTAAATATTTTATTTATTTATTATTAGTTACTTTATTGGCCAAGTAATTGTTGCTTTCTGTATGTTCAGTTAATAGATGCTGAACAGCTTGGGTTTTTTTTGTATTTGTTCTACTTTACAACTAAGAGACAGCTGCTACTCATGAAATGTCGGCAAATCAAGATGTGATACAAAGTTCTATTTTTGTTTTGCACAGAAAGCAAGGAAAAAATAGCAGAAAACTTATCAGTCTAAAGAGATGGGCAGTTGAATTCAGAGCTGGACGAAAGTTCTGGGACCCTCCTTTTGTTTCGATCATCAGTTTATCATCTTTTGTTTGTACACTTCTTGCTTTCTAGAGTCTAGTTTTCTTTAACACTTGTGGTTTGGTTTTTTTTTTTAAATCTTATTTATTCCTATTTTTTCCTGTTCAGTGAGGTCTAAACTAGGCCAAATCACACCTTAAAATTCTCGGAGACACTCATGTCAGCACTGAATGCTAACTGTTTTCCAGGCATGGTTACTGACATGTATGTGAAATCTCCAGTTTTATTGAAATCATCTATGCTTAATCTTTACTCATCTGCAGAAAACCCACAGTTTTCTTACAGAAGCCAACATAGTCCTGCATTTTTTCTTTAAGAGTATTCCCTGCACTGTGCTTGTTAAGCCTAGATAAGACCACTTGCTAATTGCTGTCACTTTTGCTTTTGGAATTTGACCTTTAAAGCATCATCTTTAGAAAACCAGTATAATATAATTCTGTGCTTTTATATTGACTTTAAACTTTTTCTCCCCATCTATCTTTAACTTAATTTTTTTAATGCCTCCAGGAAGCTGAGTGGCATATGCTTTTAGGTGCAGGACAGCTATATTTAACTTTATGAGGATGGAAACATTTGCAGAAGTTTTTATTTTTTTCTTTTAGGAATTCTTTAGAGAAAACCAGGAGAGTTTCATTTTCCCATAATGAAACTGCTCACTTAATCTGTAAAAAGGATGAAAAGACTAACTGGTGACGCAGCCTTCCTACCTTTAATCTCTTGAAGGCGTTTGAATAGCAAATTTATGACTACAAAAAATTCTGGTAAACTAAATGACTGAATTGCAGTTTTGTCTGTATGGACATTGTGGAAAGTCTTCAAAGCAAACTTTTTGTGATTCCATTCTTAAAGATGGAGATGGAAATTTCATGGAATATGGCTTTTGAAACAAATAATTCTTGCTGGGAGACAGTTTGTTGCCTGAGCATGCCTGGTGTTCTCTGTTCGCCTGATAAAACACTACCTTGCAGCACGGCCCGGTCTTTCGAACGCACATGCGCAAGCATTTTTGCCCAGTTTCAACTATGCTGAGACTGACCTTTCACCTCAAACGGGGTTATGGGTTTTTTTAATGACACGCCCTAGGAGGTCAGGGGTCTGAAGGGCATCAGGACTGTGCTTTGAGCCTCAGACAGGTGGTGGAAAAAGCAGAATAGGGAAATGTGGAAGATAAGAATACTTTAGGAAGCTGAATATCAGGCTGTTTTCTTTTGGAGGTCAGTTTTTGGCAGGTAGTAGCAACTTGTATACAGTGGGAGATAACAATACAGTTAACTGATGGATGAATTTTACTGGGTTGATAATATTATTAAGCTTTCAGGAAGAGAAGTTATTATCATGAAAAATTAATAATGCCTTCAGTAGAATGAGACTACATCTTAAAAACTGCTGTTACATTACATGCTTTCACTGTAAGAACTGAAGGTGATTTATAGTGTAAAATCAGCTGGTGTTATAGATGACAAACGAATAAAATGTTAAAAGAGTACTTGTGCATAAATACTTTGAAATTACACTCATGTACTTTACATACATCGGAATGGAAATCTGTAATGGAAACTCTTCCCACTTCAGACATTTTGTATGGTGTTTCATCATTGCTTGTGCTTAGACTTCAGTTAAAAAATAATAATTCAGAATGTTTAAATAAAGTACCTAGTTACAATTATGATAATTTCATGATGCATTTTAAATCAAGGAACTATGCTTTCATGTGCACATACTTACATGTATTGTGTATTTGTTTTTAAATGAAAAGAAACCTGGTCTCCATCTTCCTGTTGACATCAAACAATCCTCTGATATGCAAATCCAGCTATGGGGAGAACAGATACACAGGGTTTGTTTGAATTCAGTCCAAAACTAAGAGGAAATTATATTTAAAGTAGTGATTTTTATGCTTTGCCTCATTTAAATGAGAATGCATTTTGAAATAATCTCTATAACTAAAAACATTTTGATGAAATGTTATGATCCTTTGTACAACTGATGCATTTTGCTATAGCTAGTTTAAAAACATCTTTCTCGTGCTCCTGCACATCATTGTAATGTGTAGATACAGCTGTCAAGTTCTCAATGGTACATTTTAACATAATATAGGAAAATATGTTTTATTTTTCCAGAGTAACAAATGTTTGTTGTATGAGCTTTCTTAGGGTGTGCATTAGGGTGTGAGGGGTGTGTGTGTGGACACACGCTACTAAAATACATCTAAGTACTTTGCTTCCCTTCTAGGATTTTGCTAGTGTTAATGTTGTACATGTATTTTGTTTAACTTTAAAATCTGTCAAAATACAAATTCTTTAAAAAGAGTTAACGCGCAACAATTTTTCAGTCGTCTTACCTTTAGCTGCAAAATTTATAATGATCAAACTTGCATGTTTTAGCATTGGCTGAATTGCAGGTTTTCGGTATGTATGTTTGGAGGACTGTTATGCAGTCCCTGAATATCATGTTTGAAGGAGATGTGTGTAGCAAGGCACAATTATGTTTCACAGTAGCTTGAGCAGGATGCTGAACTGAACTGTTACCAGTGATCAGTAATGGTTGTTTATGCAGGACAGAAAGTATTGAACAGGAGCTGGATCACTCTGAAATTTTCAGAACTCACAGTTCCTTTAGTCCCCTTTTATGTATTGCAGAAGTTTCTAAGACCTATCTGATTGACTCTTCTTACATGGTCTTTGTTTGCAATTTTGTCTTTTCTCTCCCCCCCCCCCCTTGGAAATGGGGGTCTGTAAAAATGT